GTGAAAGATGGATAATGTAATATTGGAACACTGCAGAACTGATGCATTTGAATTGTGGTGTTGTTAAAGAATACTGAAAATATCATGGGCTGCCAGAAGAATGAATAAATGTCTTGGAAGAAATATAGCTAGAATGCTCCTTAGAAATGAGAATAGCCAGACTTTGTCTCATGTACTCTGATCATATTGTCATAAGGAACCAGTCCCTAGAGAATACCATGCTTTGTAAAAGATAGGGTCAGCGAGAAAGGAACACCCTCAACCAAGACAGATTAACACAGTGGCTCCAAAAAAGGGCTCAAGCATGGCAACAATTGAGAATGTCATAAGGCTGGGTAGTTTTGTTCCATTGTCTAGAGGGTCACTATGAGCTGGAACTGAGTCAATGGCCCCTAACGTTTAATATATATTTCATTTCCCCACCCCGCCAAAAAAGGTGGCTTTTTAGGAAAAAGCAAATTGAGTAAAATCATTTTATTAAATGAAATTTGGATTTTCATTTTTAACTCTAGGACAGACACTGAAGCTCATATTTTTTCCATAATTATGGACAAAGATGATTGTCTCTCATTTCTCCAGATACTTCCTGATTAGTTTTGAGGTATCTTACTAATTCTGACTCAATGAACAGGATGGTACATATAGTAGAGTGGTTAGAACTGTTAAGACATCCTGGGTTGAGTCCTGGCTGAATCAATTACAGTCTTTGCACTATTGGCCAAGTTCCTAGACTTTGTGCCTCAGATCCCACTGCTATATTGGGATGATTAGGGATGATTAGGATGTTATGAGGGGGAGCTCTGGTAGCGTAGTGCCTAAGGCACTTGACTGCTAACCAGAAGGTTGGCGGTTCAAACCCACCAGCCACTCCTCAGAAGGAAGATGGGGCAATCTACTTCCGTAGCGATACTGCCTGGGAAACCCAAGGAGGGGTCGCTATGAGTCGGGTCCAACTCGACACACATAACAACAACAGGATGTTACGAGAGGATGGAAGAAGTCAGTCAGTACTGAACTATAAAAAGTCCTTATTCTGTACTAAGTGTGAAATATGACATTACTATTGCTATTATTTCAGGAAAATATTATTAGCTACCAGTTTTATGTAACAGGTTATATTTTTTATTTTTTATTGTGATTTGGGTGGAAGTTCATTTTCCATAGAGCAGTTCATACACATTTTGCCTCATGACATTGACTGCAATTTGCAATTTCCCACAATTTAACATCTCTCTTCCAACTTCCTCCCCATAGAGACCTCTTCCCTGTGTCCTTCCCTCCCATGCACTCTTGCCCCCTGCCCCAGCTGTCTCCCTGTGCACACACTTGCCCTTCTGATCTCCCATGATTGATTTCTCCAAGGTGTCTATCTACCCAATGTAAATGTTCAGCCCATATGCCTATTATTTGGCTGGAAGCCACAGGAGTGAGTTCAATTCCAGACCTGAAGGGCAGCTAGGGGCCAAAAGTCTCAGGGGTTTCACCACCAGCAAAACTTTTTTTTTTGGGGGGGAGGATGATTTTGAGTTGTGTTCCACATCGTTCTCCCATTCTATCCAGGATCTCCTACACAGATCCCCAAGTGGTTGACAGTGGTATCCGGGGACCATCTAGTTCTAGTCTCATGGTCATATAGGCTGAGAATCATATGGTGTACACCAGTCCCTTGGACTGTTCTCATGTGTTTTTGATTTTCTTCATTGTTTTTGCTCTGGCCGAGGAGAGAACCATCATTTTATCTAGATGGCTCCTTGCAAGCTTTTAAGATCCCAGTCGCTACTCACCAAAGAAAGATGTGGAACAATGTTTTTGTGTACTATGTTATTTATGCCAATTGAGCTTGATGTCCCTGCAACCATGGTCCCAGCCCACAGGTGCAACTAACTTGCTCCCACCAGGTAGCAAGAAGTCACCACAACCTCGTCCCTTGTCAGGTCTACTATATACCTGTAACAGGTTATATTTGTTAAAATAACATTTTTAGTGATTCCTTGTTAATCTTAAGATACGCTTAAGTTTAAGAAAATGAAAAGCACCTCTGTATTAACTTGGATAAATTATCAGAAACGATTGTGTTCTGGTTACCTAGTACCACTGACAGGAATATACCACAAATGGGATGGGCTTAAGTTTTATTTTCTTAAAATTTGGAGGCTTTAAGTCCAAGTTCAAAGTGCCAGGTTCTAGGGGCTCAGTGAAAGCCCCTCAACCTTGAGGTTCACCTCTGCCTCCTGTTCCCACCCCACTGAAGCTAGAGGCTTTTCTTTACTGAGAGAGCTGCTGGCTGCTGAGACGAACCACCCCAAGGTTGAGAAGTAAAAAGGCACAGTCCTGATGTTACCAAACCACAAGGCAGGCTTTTAATTTAAATCCATCGAAAGTCCCAAGGTTGGCAGAGCATGGCAGGTTGCTGAACAACACGGCTACATGCAGGGTTCAAGCATCCCATAAGCTAGAGACCATTCTCAAAGCTGTTTCTTATATATGGGAAGCAGAGCACATACCCAAAGGCAGCTACTCAGCTGTTCACAGCAGAGCCCACCATGGAGTTGATTACCAGTCTCACCATGGGGAATACTACATCCAGCTGCCCAGCCACTCAACGAGGCCTAGCTAAGCTAACACAAAAACTTAACCACAATTCCACTCCTTGTCAACTTGGCACGTGTACAGATCTTCATTGGGCGGCATCTGAACATCTCTCTTCACTGGGTGACTACAGTCCCCTAGTTCGAGTGGTGACCTCACTCTCATGGCTTGGCAGGCCCTCTTCCCCTCCCTCTTGGGTATGGCAGCCTGCCCCCTCATTCTTGGGCAGCAGCGATGACTCCATCCCACGAGCTCATATGAACGAGCAGCCCTACACTCCAGAACCAAGTTAGTAAAGGTCTGGCCCTTTGAAACCTAGGGGGCTGGGGTGGTTCCACAACCCCAAAGGCCACAGTCCTACCCTTGATGCTGAGGCACCTTTGCTTTCCGTTTCCTTGGTCTCTTTGCTTCTGCCAATTAATGCCCAAAAGCAACCCACTCTGCCAGGAAGCTGGCTACCCAATGGCACCCTGCTTTCTCCTCCGTGGGCTGGAAAGCCTGTTGCTGTTTAATGCCAGTCTCTGGGCTCTACTCTTGCTGTCTCTCATGCTGGCCTCTTTCTGCCAGTCTCTTGGCTCTGCTGCTGCCATCTCTCATGCCTCATGCCGGGGTCTCTCTGCCAGGGTCTTGGGTGAAGGACACACTCTAATCCTGTTTCCACATTTTAGGTATCTATCAGAGTAGCATCCACTCTCTCGGTACCATATTCTGTTCTGGTTACTTAGTGCCGCTCTAACAAGAATATACCACAAATGGAACGGCCTTAACAAACAAGAGTTTATTCTCTTAGAGTTTGGAGGTTTTAAGTCCAAGTTCAAAGTGCCAGGCTCTAGGGGCTGGGTGAAAGATCCTCAACCTTGGGGTTTAGCTCTGCCTCTTGCTCCCAGCCAACTGGAGCTGGAGGGCTTTTCTTCACTCAGATAGCTGCTGGCTGCTAAGGCTGACAAGCCCAAGGTTGGCAAGTAAAAAGGCACAGTCCCGATGTTATCAAACCACACAGCAGGCCATTAAATTAAGTCCATCGTAAGTCCCAAGGTCAGCAGAGCATGACAAGCAGCTGAACAATGACACAGCTACATGCAGGGTCCAAGCATAGCATAAGCTAGAGACTATCCCCAAGGCTTCTCCTTATATACGGAAGGAGGCCACATCCCTAAAGCAGCTACTCAGCTGCTTGTGGTAGATCCCACCATGGAGCTGAATGGCAGTATCATCATGGGGAATTACTACCACCAGCTACCCAGCCACTCAACCAGGCCCAGTCAAGGTGACACAAAAACTTAATCACCAGAGAGTAAACTTAATAATATAGAAAACAAGGTTTTTAAAGTCTATTTAAAAAGCAAAATAGAAAATATCCACAATGTATTTCACTTAAAGAAGATGAAAATAGCCAGAGAACTTAAATTTCTGTGAACCAGTATTATGAAACAAAAACTTACGCAAAATACCAACATAATTCAATTGCATATCATTAATTCTTACATTAAAAATAGAAATAAGCTTTTGAATATTATTGGCTTAGGCTGCTTTAGGAAAAAAGGCAAAGGGGATTTTGAAAATTCTTCACAAAAAATGTTATCTACTAATACATAATAAACTTGCAACCAGACAAAAACCAACACAAGAGTGTCAATCTTTACCAATTTATTTTATACAAAACAGTAGCAATGTAGAATATGAGAATCTTCCGCTGCCACACACGCAAGTTGTGAACATTCCAAGCCAATGTATACAGTTTGGAAGGGAAGGCTAAACAATAGCATCAACCATGCTACCGAACATAAGAATTTTTTATTTTTCAAAAAGGTTAAAAATTAGATAGCAATGTCTTCGTAATATTGCTCTCATCATTGAAGACTGAAGAAAAATAAAGTGTGACGTTGTAAGTTTAAAAAAGGGGAAAAAGAAGGGAGAAACCAAGAGGCTGCTACAACACTGCCATACAGTCAAACCATCATACTTCAATATTTGCATACTTGATAGCAGCATTATTTTACTGAACCGTGTGCAACTACATGTAGAAACACATCAAAGCAAAATGTCATGGCAGTTATCAATCAAGATCCAAAAAAAAAAAAAAAAAGAAAACAATAACCCTAGGATGAACACACTATAAGTAGATGAACATTTATGAAGAACGAATCAAATATCTACATTCTTGGACTGTTCCATTCTGCTCCAGTAAGTGTCAACTCAATTGTCAATTGTGCATTTTTGGCGGATTTGAGTTTTTCCAGTTCTTATTACACTGCATGCTTGGAACAAAGAGGGTCATAATAAATCCTTCTACACAATGAACTTTAAGTAGACAGCTGAAAATAAATTTACTACTTGTAAACACACACCAAAAAAAAAAAAAAATACAAGATTTTTTTTTTTATCTTTAAACAATCATTGCTTCCAAAAAGCACATTATCTTCGATATCGACCTCTCTCCCCTCGGTCTCTGTCCCGATCACATAATCGCTCTCTTTCTCTTTCTCTGTCTCGTCCTCTATCTCGCTCTCTGTCTCTTCTGTTATCTCTGGGGCGGTCTCGCTCTCGTTCTCGATCTCTTTCACGGGGTCTACTTCTCCGTCCACTGACAACCGCTTGTGTGCGACGCAGGAAATCATCCACCCTCATATCATAATCATGCTAGAAAAGGGAAGAGTTAGGTTAGGCATGTCAAAAATTTCAAATGGAATTTGAGTCCTTATATCATAGTTATTATTTGGTAGAAAGAAAACGTAAAGAACCGCAGTTATTAATTCACAGATTGTAATTTTGATACTTAGAAAAAAGATTTTGATGTCTCAGTAATCAAGTACCTACAACAGAGGACTGTTTGAAATTTCATTTAAAATCACCTCAATTGAGGTTTTTCTATTTAACTTTAATGACTTTTTCACGCAATCCTGTTAACAAGGTTAATGCATTAACACTTTTCTGCAACAGGGTAACCCAACTTTTTCCTTCCTTCAGTTCTACAAGTAACGTGAACCAACTCTGCCCTCTAAAGGTGAAATTAAGAATTTTTATGGTCCAGATTTTCTTTCAAATTAAACTACTGCTAATGATTTAGGCAATTTGATGGAAACGGAAGAAAATATGTACGTTCATTAAAAATGTCAAGTCTATTCTAACAGTGCCAATACACAAAAGACTAAGGAAGACAGGAAGTGTAATTTGAGTAACTGTGTACATGAGTGCAAGGGAAAGCTGGAACCATGGCTACTTCTAAGTTTGACCCCTGCTCTAGTTTAAGCTTTTCACCCTTAGTTCTCAGCTCAGTTCTCTTCACTTACTGAACTTGTTCCCTTTTCAAGTCAGCTGGAATAAATGCACAGAAGTAAGGCTCCAAAACACAATTACACACTACTATATAAAGTATGTGGAGCTCTGGTGACGCTGTGGCTAAGTAAGGCACTGGGCTGTTAATCAAAAGGGCTGCTTCAGGACAAAAATGAGGCAGTCTGCTTCCATAAAGATTTACAGCCTTGGAAACCCTATGGGAGTCACTAGTTGGAATCAATTTGATGGCTGGCAGTGTGCTTTCTTTAATACACAGTATGTGGATTTTATATAAGCATAGAATATATACACTAATCAAAATATTACTGAATAAGGTCCACGAAATAATAAACTTTGTTAAAAAGGACAAGTATCTTTTTTAAAAGACCCCTGGAATTAATTCCTATATGAAAATTATATAATCATTCATAAAAGATGGTTTTTAAAAACATGACAACCATCAAAGTCAACTGAGATTTCATTGTATATAAACTGTATGTTTCTTCTTATGTAACTAACTGGAAAAAACTACTTATTTTTCTTTAGTTCAGAAGAAAGGCCTGGAGATACACTTCCAAAACAGTTAGCCACTGAAAACACTATGCAGCACAGCCTCACTCTGACACACATGCATTACCATCAAATAAACCATTTCTGGCTCAGTAAGACCCCATGTGTTAGAGTAAAACTTTGCTCTACAAAGTTGCCAACAGAAGGGTATCATAAGGTCTTTCTTCCTAGGAGCCTCTGGGTGTACTCCTTGAACCACCATCCTTCTGGTTAGCAGTCAAACACATAAACTATCTGCACCACCCAGGAACTCCATTTTCTCACTGCCATCAAGTTGATTCCAACTCATAGCAACACCCGTTGCGTTTCTAAGGTGGTAAATCTTACAGATATAGAACGCCTCCTCCTCTTCCTTCTGTGGAGTGGCTGGTGGGTTTGAACCTCCAACCTCCTGGTTAGTAGTCAAGTGCACTATGCTACCAGAGCTCCTTCATATCACTTAGGATCCTCAAATTGTTTCACTGAATGTTAAGCATCCTTGTGTGATTTAATTTTGAAGCATCAATTTATTTATGAAGATAAGGAAATAAATGAAAATACCTAAAAGTATTTAAAAAATAAGCTAGGAAATTACTGCTCTAACAAACCCGCTCAAACACGTATGCTCTTCAACACCTTAGCAAGAACATAAAAGGATGTTTAGGGATGTCTATTTGGCTCACAAAACTCAAAAGAGAGAACAAAGAAGATTTCCAACTTTTATATCCCACTCTAGCCACTATACAGAAGAAAGATGAGGTAGTGTGTTCTGTAAAGATTTACCACTTTGGAAGTCCCACGGGGGGCAGTTCTACTCTATCCTATAGGGTCACTATGAGTCAGAACTGACTAGATGGCAGTGGGCTTGGTTTTGTTTAAAAATCAAACTACCTTTTTAAGGTTATTTAACATGTATGCATATGGTTTAGACTTCCAGCAAGTACTAGGAGACAGGTTCAACTTTTTAAAACAAAAGTACTGTTTTTTTAAAAAAGTTATTTAATAAACAATCTCAGTCCCACTAGTATAATGAACACCAAGAAGCCACAAACCAGAGGCTGTTGCATTTCTTAACATCATTTGTCATTTTCCAGCATCATTTTAAGAATCAGAGGTATAGGAGAGGTGAAACAATTCACTTGTTTACCAATTTGAATACAATTTTGTAAAAAATACAAATAAATGCATAAATAAGATTGGGTCAATCTGTTAACTAAACATGAACCACCTATGCTATGAAAGTTAACAGAAAGACTATGTAAAATGCTTAGAAACTGGCATTACCAATAAATTATAGTTATAATAGAAAATTTAAGTATAATAAGAAAATATACTAGGTATTACATACCTATGACATTACCTAAGGGTTATATATAACAGTTACCTAACCTTAATCATGAGGTCTGTGATTTTATCAGTAAAAGGAATATAGTCTATCTATAATCCAAAGGGGCATTATCAGTCAGTTTAACTAAGAAAAAGTTGTAATTACTCTAAAACATTCCACTGTAAGAATATAACATGGTCCACCACTCACCATAATGTTATTTCCCACATTTAAATTACCTAGAGAATTCTAAGTAGTTCCCTCACACCTTTGCTTTCTCATGCACTTACTACTCGTTTATCTCTGTATCTTGCTTCATGTGGTACTGGATGGTGTCCTGAGTAAGGGGGATGGGCTTGAGGAGGTGGAGCATGATGCTGATAGTACGGATGATGTGGAGGCTGTTCCATTCCTGGGTAAGGGGGCTTTAAAAAAAAAAAAAAAAAAAGAGAACCACTTCCGTAAGAATCTACCATATATTCTTGTAAATGAACAATCTCAGAATCTCCCCACCCAGAACACTCTTAAACAATAATTTAATCTGAATAAGCCATTCACTTTAATGACTTTAAAATCAAAATACCCTTCTATGACTGCTAAAAGTAAACTGTGTATAATAAACTAAGATTTAACATATTCACACTGTTCTACCCGTATTATTTAAACACTAACAGAAAAAGCACATGTTGTTGTTTTGCCGTCGAGTCGGCCCCGACTCATAGCGACCCCTCCTTGGGTTTTCGAGGCAGTATCACTACGGAAGTAGGATTGCCCAACCT